TTTCATCGTTAGAATTTGGACTCCACTCGGGTGATTATGGAGGCAGACTATGCCATTCGGAAACCAGTCTGAGAAATGATAAAGTGAAACAAACAACTATTCAGGATTAAGAAAGGTATGAACCTACAAAAGTTTGATAAAATATTTGCAATGCATACAGTTTACATATGGAGGATGTTTGCACTTTGCAGTAGATACAGAGCAGGGACGTGCGGTCAGGGGAGGCAGAGCCTCACCTAGAATTATGGAGGAAAAAGCTGTCAGCTTCATCTCTGAAGATGACAGCTTTTTCTCCAATCAGATCGGCATCCAACAGGTTACACAGCAGGGAAAGCCTCCCCGCTGTGTAGCCTGTCATGGATGGAGCGCCTCAGCAGTGAGGAGCAAGTGAGGGACAGGGAGGCTCCTCCCCTCCTCCTTTATACTAGCTTGGGGACGGGTTGGAGGTGGGGCTTCAGCCGACGGGGCAATACGTGCTGGGGGCGAGGCTGGGGAATGCCTCACCCGAAGCAAGAGGTACTGCACGTCACTGATACAGAGTGCATCTAACTTAATGATATGTAGTATTCTAAAGCTCCGTGTATTATAAACAACTTCCAGTTTTTAAATTAAACACTACCTTTTTTTGCAACACACGACTTTTTTTTAGCCGTGATCGTGTTCGATTGCACGGGATGGAATCGCACTGGGAAACCGCGTGACCTGCCCGCCCCGACTGGGGTGCCATTAGAAAAGAATGGCACAGCCAGTGCGATCAGCGATGGTGTGCGACTGCTTGTCCGCGCGGTTTCGTGCCACACGGTTACGGATTGCGCAAGTCTGGCCTAGGTGCTGCTAATCTCTTGCAGACTCTACAATGATGGTTGCATGGCGTTTTCCAGGGTGGGCTTCCTGAGCGGTTATTATAGAAGCCCATAGGACAGGGTGAAATATGCAGGAGCACAACTGGTAAACAGAAAAAGAGTGACAGAAAATGCCTAAACATGGACCATTAGGGCAGGACATTATTCATTTGTTACTGAAAGCTGAACTTTTAGATTGTAAGCTCTCACAGGCAGGGCTCTCTTTACTAGCTTGTCTTAATTTATATTGTAACTGTAATGTCCTCATATTGTTACTGTATAAATCCTGTATAATAAACATTAAAAATATACAGAAAATGCTTTTGGAAAGAACATGAATACGTTAGATTGTATATATGAAATTGTATTGAGTTTACATGAATTTTCCTTTGCTAAATCCATCCCGACATTAGCAACATTTCAACACATGTGCAGTAGCACTTAGGCCCCATTTATATTTGCTGCACATCCATACAGCTTAGCCCATTCACTTCAATGGGCTGCCTTACATATGGCAAAGAAACTCATGCAGCAGGTGGATCTGCAAGCTTCTTGCATTTTTTGACCATGTATTTGCACACTTCTTGCTTGTCACATTCAGGGTGCCAATGACGATTTTGTAATTTTGTGCACATTCACACATGTGGCAAATGTTAATGGGGGCCTTAGACTGATGGATGAAGGGGCAGCACAAGGCACTGACCAGGCTTTGCTGTACGCACATGTGCTGACAGGGACACTCATGTGAGAAGGAAGTAGAATTAATGACTAACCAGTGTGATGGTCTACAAACTCAATACAAATGAGTAAACTAAACATGAGATTAAAGTGAGGGGAATGAGCTTCGAGTGGTGGCTACTTTACAACAATCACCGGGACCATGGGGAACAAAAGTAGCCACCCTCCAGAAGGAAGGACAGTGTCAGCACCAAGTCAGAGATGATTTGAGGATGTAAAGCTGAGTGATACACAAATAAGATAAATTTTTAATAAAGGAGAACTATGGGGTTAAGGCTTTTCCCCATAGTTCTCCTAAGGGTAACGAGAGGACACAAACTAGCGTCCTCCCGTTACCCTAAGCTCAGTATACTGCAAGCTACACTGAGACGCCGCAGCAGGGACGGATCCTGACTTTACTGTCGAGATCCGCCCAGCTGCGTGATTGACAGCTGGCTCTGCCTATCTAGAGGCAAAGCCAGCTGTACCCGCCCATTCCGCCAGTCAGCGCTGGAGGATCGGAAGGTGGAGGGAATCCATGCAGGGAGTCGTGAGTGACAGTCACGGCTCTCTACAGGGATAGACCGAGAAGTGAGCGAGCGACGGTATGTGTTCGCTCACTTCCGGATCTATTGAGCCAACATGTGAGTTTCATTGCAACACGGTGGCTAGAACTATGAGGCTGAGTGATTTGTATGTATTAAGATTTAACTCCAGAGTTTTTGTGAAGCTTTTCTTGTCTGTATTCCCACTGGGGAGACTCACAGTTCTATTTATACTAGTCAGTATTGTCATCGATACAAAAAAGTGAGGGTAAAATCATTTTAGGGTTGTCTACACGTGTAATAACTGTATAAAAGGGGAATCCCCCTTATAATGTGGGATTTCCCTCTAACTTCCTGTTGTACCTCTGGCAGAGTAAGTGAAAACAATTCCCCCAACGGTATTAGAGACACAAAAAAAAAACTGATGGGGTTTTAACCCTACCCTATGCAACAGAAAAGTTAGGGTTATACATACACTTTAAAAGAAAGCATGCCTCAGAGAAACTTCTCATTCCAGGTGTTATACAGAATTACAAACCCTTCATTAGATTAGGCAGTTTAGTGGATGAAAGTTTATTTAAAACTGTTTGGTGCAGCTTTGTGCAATTGTTCATATAAGCAGTTCCTTTCCTAGTAATTATAATGCAAGATATATTTAACTACACTTAAGCTATAAAAACAGGCCCAAAATCTATTTGTAGGTTTTCATCATGCGAGTTGTATTTGATATCTTCTTGTGCACTGCCTGAATCCAAGGACACTTAAAAATGCATTGTCTTAATAAATTGGTTTTACGGTACAAAGGAAATATGGTCATGAAGGAGAGTAAGCAGGAACCTAGAGGGGCATGCAGCCACGTATCTCCAGTGCTCCAGGAGGGAAGGTGAAGGACCCCATGTGACTTTGTAAAGTTATATGGAAGAGGCAGCACACATAGCAAGCTCCATGGAATGGGTTTCCATAACTGAGCAGTTGCATCTGAGCCTTACATCACCAAGTGCAATGCAAAGTGTCGGATGCAGTGGTGTAAAGCACGCCGCCACTGGACTCGAGAAGTGGAGACGTGTTCTCTGGAGTGACGAATCGCGCTTCTGTCTGGCAATCAGATTGATGTGTCTGGGTTAGGCAGTTGTCAGAAGAGTACTTGCCTGACTGCATTGTGCCAAGTGTAAAGATTGGTGGAGGGGGGATTATGGTGTGGGGTTGTTTCTCAGGGGTTGGGCTTAGCTCCTTAGTTCCAGTGAAGGGAACTCTTAAGGCATCAGCATACCAAGACATTTGGGAAAATTTCATGCACCCAACTTTTTGAGAACAGTTTGGGGATGGCCCCTTCCTGTTCCAACATGACTGCGCACCAGTGCACAAAGCAAGGTCCATAAAGACATGGATGAGCGAGTTTGGGGTGGAGGAACTTGACTGGCCTGCACAGAGTCCTGACCTCAACCCGATAGAACACCTTTGGGATGAATTAGAGCTGAGACTGCGAGCCAGGCCTTCTCGTCCAACATCAGTACCTGAACTCACAAATGTGCTTCTGGAAGAACGGTCAAACATTGCCATAGACACACTCCTAAACCTTGTGGATGCCTTCCGAGAAGAGTTGAAGCTGTTATAGCAGCAAAGAGTGGGCCAACTCAATATTGAACCTTACAGACCAAGACTGGGAACACATTAAAGTATAGTGTATTTTCTGGAAGCCATGTACAACCCCCCTCCAAAATGATCTGACTGCATTGCTTATAGAAATACAGTGAAAAGGCCATTGATTCAGCATAAGCCAAGATTTGCAACAGGAAACCCATGAAGATGTGTCATCCAACCCAAGTTCTTTCTTCAAAAGGTGAATCGAAACTGGAGCAGACAAAATCTGGAGCAGCTGTGCACAGGAACCAATCAGCTTCTCTCTTTCATTTCCAATTCTTAACTGAATAAACTGAGGGGAGAAGCTGATGATGGTTGCCCTGGATAACTGCTCCGGAGTTTGATAAATTCCCATCACAGCTAAAGGTTTTAAAATACATAGTTGCATTAATTGGTGATTTTACACCTGTATGGAATTCAGCTTTACATTTTTGGCTAGACCATGCACAGGTACAGAATCACTGACATGTTTTGGCAGAATGAAACCGTAGCGACTGGTAAATGCACCACCTGACCCTACAGCCTGCACACAATGCCATGCTACTGTAAGATTCTAGTTGGAGTTATCAGAAATGTTCATTCAACCAGTAAAAATGTACACATGTTGAAAGCAGTGGTTTAAAAGTGATAATGAATACTAAAAACAGTCATGACAGCTCGGCCACTTGTCAGCTTTCTTTCAATAGGAGCCTGACCTTTTGTACATGGGTAGCAATTATTTGCAGACACTACGGGCAGCACAGTGGCATAGTGGTTAGCTCTTCTGCCTTGCAGCACTGGTGGTTTCCGGTTCGAATCCCGGCCTGGTCACTATCTGCAAGGAGTTTGCAAGGAGTTTGTTTTCCCTGTTGTGCCCTGTGCTTGTGCATGTTTCTCCGGTTTCCTCCCACACTCCAAAGACATGCTGGTAGGTTAATTGGCTCCCTCTAAATTGTCCCTGTATGTATGCATGCATGCATGTGAAATGGGGACCTTAGATGTGAATGTGCAACTATGTAAAGTGATACGTAAATTGTCGGCGCTATATAAATACCTGTAATAAATAAAATACTTGTTCCAGGTCAGCGACTCCCTAAATAGTGAAGCAAGGTTAAAAATGACAGCTAATCTAGAAGTGAGCCAAGACAGTCCCATTATATCTACCCTCGGTAGAAATATATTTGTTACGAATTAGTTTTCTTTAAATATTCTCTACTTACATGAAACTAAGACAATGGCAAACAGTCAACAGTCTGTCTAAAAAGTAACACAATCTTCATTTCATCCGCCTGGGTCTTCTGTTTATTTAGACAGACAGAAACAGTGGTAAAACCAAGTTACAGTTGTGGGGGACCGAGCAGAGTGAATACAACCAATAATTACATCGGAGGAAATGGCAAGTCCTACATGGTTGTATTTATAAAAACTTCTCAGTTTAAAGTGTCACTGAAACTTTCAGTATTTAAGTCCATGTGTTTACTCAGACAAGCCAAGCTTCTTCTTCAGAGACTCTGGCATCTCAGGGGGAGGAGGGCGAGGAAGTCTAAAGTAGACCTTCACAGAGTCATAGATGAACCACTGCAGAGCAGTTAAGGTACCGATCATGATGATACGGGCCGTCAGACCCTTCCAGACTCCTGTGCACAGAAAATATATTTTTATATATACACACATAACTCCATGTACAAACACATAAAAATAATATATTAAATAAAAAAAGGGAAATTATACCTTTTGGTCCAAGCCGTTTAAGGACTCCCATAGCGGTGCTTCCCTTTTCTTTGTTCAACACAGACACTACTGAATCAGCAGGGTGGGAGACGATGGCACAGAACACACCAGCTATAGAAAAGGAATATTAAGCATAAGTTTACCAGCATTCATTACTATGGCAAACTGCAGCTACTCAAGTGTAGGAGTTACAAACAGTGGAGATCACTACACTTTACATTTTGTATTCAGCTGATTCAATAAGGCATAGTATTTATGCTCCATGATGATTTGTCCGCATATTAGCCAAGTCCTACTGGAGAGACGTGGCACAGCACGAATGTTGCAACCACTGCCAATAGAACATAAATGGTCAATATGAAGGTATATTACTCTTACATGCCAATGACTCAAGCACCTTTGACTGTACAACCAGAAAAGTTGCTGGGTGTCACGGACCTGGAACTGCTGAATAGATCCAGCTGAACTCAGAATCTGGTAAACACCCACAAAGATGGATCTAAGGGAGCATGTTTCATTTCTGTTAAATCTAAAAAAAGATCTTGTAATCTATGAGAAGCAACTTCATATGTTACTAGTTTTGCTCTTACATATGTACCCATCTTAAAGCAGGGGGGGACTGGGCCATTATGGTACCTACGCATGCGTACAGGAGCTACTTCAGCTCAGCATGTTGAGCCGGTGTACTAAGCTATACATGTGGCTTGATATACAGGAAAAAAAAAAGCCAACAGAGAGCAAAAAGCTTTCACGGCAGAATAACTTTCTGATATTGACCTACTGATCTGGCAATAAAGAATATATATATATTATTTATATTGTGGCAGTGCGTGGCAATGCCACTATGTAGAGTGGCTAAAGGGTCACCCAGGACTCTCAGCCAGAGGGGCTGAGACGTTGCAGAACAGAAATACTTTTACCAGGAAAAAGCTGGCTTTTCAATTCTTTCCGGGTTTTCTAAATTATAACCTGGATCCTGGAACTGGGATATTTCCAAGAGAACTGGGAGGGATGAAATCTCCATTCCTGGGTCTGGGGGTTAGTGGTGACCAGCACCAAATGATGGTGCACCTGTGCACAGCCCTTATGAGGATGCTGGGTCAGGTTCAGGGCTCCACATGGGTGACAGAGGAAGTCTCTACCCTGGGACCAGTCTGTGGTTGGCAGACTGAGGCGTGCATCACCTGTGTGGTGAAAAGCGTTTGGTAATCAGACAACCTAAAGTCGGGGGACTTTGAAAGTGCTATTTTGGATGAAGAAAGAAAACTGTACTTTGTGTTTGAAAACCCCTGTGAGGGTAATCACATTACTTTGTGAACCTTAATTCAATAAGTGGGCAAGGAAGCCCTTAAAAGTCATAAGCGAGTGGATGAGTCGCTAATGTGCTACCATTGGAAGGTAAACCTCACAATATCCATCTTTCTCTTTTCCATTTTGCAAAAATTGTTTTCATGCCAGAGAAAATACAAACCACACATTCCTGTGATCAGTGATAAAAAGTAAGTTTATTCTGTAAACGGTCTCATTCCTTGTTAGTTTATATGTGTATTATAGTCTTTTCACAATTGTGCTAGGCACAGGTGATTTTTTTATTTAACCAAAACCACCTTTAGGCCCCAATCACACACAAATCGGCCTGCACGTACAGCTCCGTGCGGGGCTGTACCAAGTAGCTGCCTCATTGCAGGTCCGTAGGGATGCGGGTTTTCTGGCCGGGACGCATACAGGATCCATTCCGGCGGCGTATGAATACGATCATCCGCACCCCTACGGACCTGCAAATGAGTTCTAATCACACGCAGCACCTGTCCTTCCCGGCAGCTACTTGGTACGGCCCCACACGCAGCACGGAGCTGTACGTGCAGGCCGATTTGTGTGTGGATGGGGCCTTATAAAGTAAAGACAACCACGGCAGTAAAATCGGGAGGGAGAAAGGAAATTAGAATAAACTAGGAGTTAATAAGTTGTTAAATAGGGGAAACAATATCTATATATTTAATTAACTGACATTGTATGTCAGTTAAAACTCATCTCTATGATCTGCAGATGAAGGAAACAAAAGTAATAATGTTACTTTGTATCTCTTCATCTTGCATTTCAACAGCGTTAAAAGGAAAACTATGAGGCGAGTGCTTTTCACTCACCTCATAGTTCTAGCCGACCTGTGACAATGAGACTGTCACAGGTCGGCTCAGTAGATCGGGAGGTGAGGGAACACATACCGGCATACGCTCACTTTTCGATCCTGTCATAGCTCTTTGCCGTGACAGGGGAGGGGCTGGATTCCCCCCTCCCCGCACCGATCCGCCAGCGCTGACTGGCGGAACGGACGGGGCGGGTACAGCTGGCTCTGCCTCTAAATAGGCAGAGCTAGCCGTCACTCACGCAGCTGGGCAGATCGACATAGATGTCGGGATCCGCTCCGGCATCTCAGTATACCGCGAGCTGCAGCTCACGGTATACTGAGCTTAGGGTAACGGGAGGATGCTAGTTTGTGTCCTCCCGTTACCCTAAGGAGAACTATGGGGAAAAGCCATGACCCCATAGTTCTCCTTTAATAAGCACTGTTAGACAGTACAATTGAGCAGCAGTTACAGCAGCTGTATTTACACAGCAACTCCAGGGTGTAATTGTGACCGTTTGGAATCACTGTCAAGTGCGAGGGGGAACAGCAGCAAGGCAGAAGGACATGGTGATTTACATAGATCCTGTGAACTTGGATTATGTTTTTCTTCTCTGGGAGGAAGAGGGGAGGTGGGGGCATTGGCATCGTGTGACATTTGCAGTGTCCACAACTGGCTAATTATAAACTGAAGAACTTTGTCTAGCTTCTGCTTTTTCAACTCTCCATAAATTTTGCTAAACCAAGTTTTTAAACTGAAAAATACTAGGACTAGAACCCCAGACTACACCTATAGCTATGCAGGTGAAACTGGTCAATGGCTTATTTTTACCCTTTTATATGCTAATAGCTTCTTATATTCATGCAACTGTGAACTACCTGGAGTCATCTAAAGCAGACAGTGAGTAAATTCCATGTGGGAGGGGAATTCGTAAACCTTGTAAACTTACCAATATAACCAGCAACGAATGTCACAATCAACTGTTCGCCCTTTGAACATTCATTTCGTGGCTTGGGTACAGCATACTTATACAGTGCTTCAACTGTACGTTCAAAGCAAGCAAATTTCATCATGGTGTATGGAATCTGCCTCATCCAGAGAGGTACAACTCCTTTGTAGAACCTACAAATACAAGACATTGAACAAATGGTTGAAGTACACCTGTGGAAGACAAATGTAAGTGGGACACACACACAAAACCTTATCGCACTACCTGTGCGCACGTAAACTAATGAGCGGAGATGAACAGGCAAAATCAAATACAAAGCAGAGTACAAAAAAATTAAAATCAGTTATTGGTGGCAATGGACTATTGCCCTTTCCCTCCTGGAATAAGCTTGATGGTATTACAATAGTATTGTGTCCCTTTCTGCTGCATTTATCTGTCCGCATATTAGCCAAGCCCTATTGGTGAGACACGGCACAGCACGAATGTTGCAACCGCTGCCAATGGAACATAAATGGCCAATATGAAGGTATATTACTCTTACATGCCAATGACTCAAGCACCTTTGACTGTACAACCAGAAAAGTTGCTGGGTGTCACCGACCTGGAACTGCTGAATAGATCCAGCTGAACTCAGAACAAGTTAAAACACCCACAAAGATGGATCTAAGGGAGCATGTTGTTAGCAAGCCAAAAAGTTTTAAAAATATGAGCGATTTCTTCATCTTAAAAAGGTAATACAAGGAGGGAGGATTAGAAACCAGGATCCAGTATTAAACGTGAATCCAAAGTACCAGCTCCCACCCCCCACCCGAAAAAAAAAAGAAAAAAGGGATGTGTTCAGCATCTAGTTCAGGAAATATCTTTTAGCCCCAAAAAAGCTTTGTTACTTACGCCCAGATTCCTTCTTCAGCATACATCTTGGGTGCGGCTTGTCGCAGAGTATTTGCATATCCTGGCTGTGTTTGAATACGTACTTTTGCAGCTTCCATTGGAGCCAGAGCAATATCTGCAAAGAACTCAGCACTGGCAGATGCAGCCAAGTACAGAGATGTGCGCCATAGATAGGAATTTTCCTAAGATGACAAGACATTTTTTTTTAAAAAGTACTCCTATAAAAAGGAGGTTATAATATAGTTACACAATCGGAACTTGTGGAGTGGTGTTAAAACAACACACACCACATACACATTATATATATAATCTCATAAATACTGAAGTTTTAAATACATATTAAAAATAAAATAAATATTAGATGTTTTTATTTAACTTGGTTTATGCTGCAAATGTACTCATATCTTTAAAATGCATATTCCACTTTTTTTGCATTTGAGCCTGCAAAGCAATGCAACCACAATTTGTCTCCTGCAAACCATTCCCCCAAGCCCGTCCGTACAGACCATTGGTTACGGAGCTGAAGTACTCAATGGATTACAAGTGCAGTGAGGTCTATCCACATTCTAGGAATAGAAACCTACAAAAGGCTTACCTCTCCTAGAAGGTTAGAATACATGACCTTGAACACTTCATAAAATCCAAATTTGCACAAGCCTTGCATAGAATACCCAATGAATGTTGGAGCCCATCCCTTGCCAAGGCCGCGAACACCATCTTCTTTAAGAGTTACAGAAAACCCACTGAAAATGCTCTTGTACTTTTGGGGATCCACCTACAAAGGGGAAAAAAAAAAGTTAAATGAAAAGAAAAAAAATATTCAACTGCACAAGGTCATTCAATTAAAAAATGACTGCATACTAGCCAGTTCCTAATAGGGAAACTGAGTTTTAACCACATCAAACCATTTTTACTTTCAACAAGCTTTTAGGCATCATGTAACCAAAATTCTCTCACCAACATGAACATCTAAAATGAACATATCTGGAAGTCTTTTTCGCGATTTCCTTTACAAGAAAATGCAAGCTTTGCCGATAGGCATTTCTGCAAATGTGTACTTTCATGGCAGTGTTAGAGTTATGCTGGCCCAATAAAGGGCACTCAGGCTTTTACTTAAAGCATAATTAAACCCTCAGTTTTTTTGCATATATCTACTGCTAGCAAGCAGTAGATATATGCAAAAAGTGTAAATTAAAAAAAAGGCTATTAAAAGGGTTAATACTTCCCCGCGCACTCCCGTCCGAAAATGTGAAAATTCTGGCGGCCGCAAAGCATCTTGGGGCGGGCGCATGGGCATATCACATTTTCGGCCGGGACGCTAGGAGAGACACAAGGTAAGTCTATAAACGCTTGCACCCGCATGCAGACACCGTGGGACAGGAAGTGCCAGCAAGCCCAGAGGAGTCAGCACTGGATCGGAGACCCGCCGCAGCGCTGGAGGGACAGATTAAAAGGACAAGAAAGAAGATCGGATTAAGAAACATTAAAAAAGGTAAGTGCTAACATTAACATTGGGGGAGGGAAAAACATTTTCGCCTTTAATATCACTTTAACACTCCACAGCAACCAGGTTTAGTATGCTCAAGGAAGGAGTTGGTCTGCTTAGTAATCCCAAGAACTATCTTGTATCCAGTCAGCTGATAAGATTTTTTACTCCTATGACAGCCCTTACTTTGTTAGAGCAAGATTGCCCCACTTTCTGCCTTTACAGAATGCAAAAGTACATGACCCCTAGTACAGGCTTGACACTTTTGCTGATATGATCTCAACTATGCGAATACGCCTCAGTGCAACAAAACCTGTCAGCAGAAATGTGTTTGTTCACAACAATCAAGGCTACCTTTGCCATTTTAAACAAAACTAGATTGTTATCTTATTCTTGCCACAGGAAAAAAAAAAAAAAAGTGTAAATGCCTTGTAGTGACAGAATCAAATTTTCCATTTACCATAAATATAAAATGCAGTCAATCTAGGGATAGAAACTTTTAGCAGAAAGACATGAGGAAGATTTGATGCCCTCAATATTAGTCTTAGACAAAAGGGGTTAGGACGAGGATAATGAAGTCTCCTGGATTATTTATTTAACAAAGTGGAGAGAATGTCAGGATATGAGAACTGTCTGTATAGCCTTTTGTTAACTTATGCCTTTAGGTTTAACATCAGGAGATCAGTTAAAGGATCCACAGTTGACCTATTGCAGATAACCCTTTACCTTTTGTAGAACAAGTGGTGCAGAAGAGCCAATGCTGATCAGCATTTGTTGTCTTTAATAGGGATGTCCCATTTTCTGTTTTTTTGGGGGGGGGCTCTCTTCTGGAAGCAACCACCCAATACTGAAGAGCAAATATGCTAGAATTAAAAAACACAGCAAGATGCCTGTATCCTTGAGCTCTCCTGCTAGGGGGATGCAGGCCCATATATATGCTTGCTCTTTTTTTTCCTTTTTATTAAATTTTAAAAAGGGAATTGGAAACCAATTTGATATTTTCTATGTGGGGCTTGATGTTGAAACCTGTAATGTCATCTTACACAAGCAAAACAATGTACCTTTTACTAAACTATAAAGTAAACAGCAGCACAAACCGGAAATAAGTAAATCATGAATAATACATATAAACGAAGTTCATCATGAATAGCATGCTTATCAAGTTCTGCTTGTGACAGAAGGAATTCAATGCAAACCTGGTTAGTATACCCACCTGAATACGACATTTCACCAAATCCAAAGGTACAACTGCAGTGTGTGTTAGACCACAACTGAGGATGCCACCAAAGCCACAAAAAGCATAAAACTTGGTTGAGCCATATTCGCAACTGTAGTCGCCTAAGTGAACAAACCAAAACACCATGCTTTTTAAAAAAAACACGCATGCATCAGTAATAATATTTAGTACCAAAACAAGTTCATTTAGTCAACACTAGTTAGTTTACACTTGAACTTCACTCCAACATGCATGTAGGCACAAACCTGAATTCTGCATTTAACCAGATCTAACGGGACCACTGCAGTATGTGTTGTACCACAGCTTATGATTCCACCAAAGCCACAAAGAGCAAAGAATTTTGCAGATCCATAAGCACAGCTAATTTCCTCTGTTCAATTAAAATTGACATATTAAGTTTATTTAGACTAAGTGAAATAGCCTGCCTGAAGCATTCTTAGAGGACACAATTCTTTACAGTATATGATCTTTAAAAATAAGACAGGACATGGATGTTTTACCTTTATAGGGGTTACAAAAATATTTCAAAGTCAGTGTCTATTACAGGAACTACAAATATAAAATGTATGGGGATAAAATCTGAAGATTTGACTAAAACATCCCCTTGTCAGTACCCCTATTGAAAGTACTGCAGGTGCTCAACCAAAAAGTAAAGCCTCCCATGTCTATAATTTGAGAGTGACTAAGAGAGATTAGAGTGACTGAATGTTAGTGTATCATGTTATAGAGGTGTCCTTACCCCGCTAATGTATGCTTTTCTTTTTCAGATTGAGTGATTAAAAACCATGGAAATATGGCTAAAACAACGAGCTGCAACTTAAATTCTGGCAAAAGAGGGTCATTCTCCTAAGGAAACCCATAAATCGGCTAAGGAATGTTTATGGGAACACGGTTGCGAAATTTTGTTTTCACCTTCTTGAAAGTTCGTCAACGAATACCGCACATTGCTAATGTCCACTACAGCATCCCCATAAACATTTAGCAGATTATTGATTTCCTTCCGTGATACGCAAACCCTCTTGCTACAGAAATTCAGTTACAGCTTGTTTTAGCTGTAGATCCATGGTTCTAATCACTCAATCTGACAAAGAAAAAACAAACATACATTAGTGGGGTAAGGACACCTCGATAACATGGTACATGAACATTCCCAGTCACTCCAAGATCTCATATTTTTTGATTGACCCTTGTAGAATTTGTCAACAAGGCGATGTGACATCCATGGATAACTTTTCTAGTTGCAAAATACGGCACTTAGTGTAAGAGCAGATGCAAACACACTAGTTACACAAGCAGTATTCTGCCGCCCATGGCTACAAACCATCAGCAAGATAACATTGTACCAAAAAGTTTAATAAAAATAAGTAAAAGATGACTTGGATGTGGAATATTAAAATGTTAAGAGCATTTGCACTACTGTTCTTTAGATACCAGTCATTTACGACTTAACCCATTGTTAGGGCATTTTAGTGACTACAGCAAGAATCAAGATATAAAACACATTTGCAGTACTGACAAATATTCATATCCAAAAAGAGAAGCCACACGTGTTTTATGTTTGCTAAACTTTAATTTTTTTTTGTCTGAGGAAAATCTCCCTTTACTTCCTGTTCCTTTGACACAACACAGTAGTCATGATGTGTTCCAATCTCTCAATAAAAAAACTAAAATACAAGTTTTCAGTAGATATTATTTAATGCATTTTTTAAAAGCACACCTGCAATTACAAGGATATTGCCAATGTTAAAAAAAAAAAAAACAAAAAAAAAAAAAAAAAAAAAAAAAAAAAAAAAAAAAGAGGTCTATACAGGTGCTTTTATAGGTTTGTAATGCTTCTGGTCAGCACAGAAAGGCAGAAGTAGCTAGCAAATGCCAACTGTCAATTGAACCAGATTTTTTTTAAAAACCATCCGCTGGTCCCAAAAAAAAAAAGTTCACTTGTACATCAGGATGTCACCAGCTACTGTACACTAAGTGGCTTCTACGTTTTGCCAAACACTACATCAAATTTGATTTTATATTTACATCATAGAACAATAATGAGGTATGTTGTATGTGTTAAGACACTGGGAATGAAGATCCAGTTGCAGCATTTCATTCTGAATGTATGTTGGGAAAAGTACGACATGGCCTTGCAAGACTAGTGTCCCAAAGTACACAGCATGCAGTTATCAGAAGGCAACACCTACTTAAATTCAACACTGCCAATTATCTGAGACAGCTATGCATCACACCCGTTATCTCAATTAAAGTGATTATTAAACACTCACCATCTACAGTAGCTGCAGCAGCAAGGCGTCGGACAGGCTCGACCTGTGGAGTGTTATTCTTCCTTAGAGTCGCACATTCCTGTCCCAACTGGAAATGTGGTGCATTGAACGGGTTTCCCCGGGCTAGCTGTGCAACGGTGGAGTACATTTCGGCAGCTGTGGGTTGGACACAAAACAGACACTATGAAGGTGAATGACAAGCAAAACCAGGAGGAGAGCATGAACTTAGGAACTGTTGTAACAAGGAGGTTCACTGACATTTATGAAATCGCTACTATAATTTTACCTCAGCACTTTTCTCTTTCAGGCATGGATGGGTGGAAAGGTCAACAGGAATAGCCAAATGGTTACACTAGCTTCATAATTATAAAAAAATGGATAGTGCAAAACTCAAATCATAAATCGATTTCATAAGCATGATCTGTTCTTCAAAACGTTGGTCCCATTTGTGTCATTATGGATCTAATTTACTGTTTTCTTCTCACCACAATATTCACCTGGGAAGATAAGATTGTATCTGTGTAGAGCCGGTGTTCCATCAAATATTGTGACTGGGTTGGAACGTGTGAGCGGTCACACATTTTAATATCATCATGCACAGTTTTTTCGGCGGTGGAATATGTGACCGGCAAAGGGTGAATAATTACAACCCTTTCTTAGCTGTTCCAGGGCAGATCGGCATCGCAGATCGTATTGCGAGATCACACTCAGAAAGTCGTATAGAAGTGACATTTCAGGACCGACCAGCTGTTCCAGGGCAGATCGGTTCTCCTGCACATACGATCTGCAATGCCGATCTGCCCTGGAACAGCTGGAATTCTTCACCTTTAGCAGGCCACATATTCCACCGCCAAAAAACTGTGCGGGATTAGGTTAAAATGTATGACCACACATTCTAACGCAGTCACAGACTTTGATAGAACACCGGTATAGGCAGGAGATGTTTAGCTTAGCTCTTCTATTTTCCAGGCATGAATGGGTAGAAAGGTCAACAGGCATGGCCAAAGGTAGCACATAGAAATGTTAACAGTCTTCATAAGTAGACATGCACCTTTCTGCAAACACACCACAATGCGATGTACTTGGACAGCTACTGTGAAGTGTGTTTGGGCACTAATGACAATCAATGGCACTGCAACATGCATCAAGCAGTAGATATATGCAAAAAGTTATTTTTTATTAAAAACAGCTTTGACAGAGATTTAAAAAAACTTACCTGTGTCTTCACCATGCGCTCCCGTCCGAAAATCCGAAAATGCTCGGGCGGCAGCAAAGCATCTTGGGGCGGGTGCATGCGCAGTTCGGATTTTCGTCCGGGAGACGAGGAGAGACGCAAGGTAAGTCTAAGGACGTGTGCACCCGCATGCAGACACCGCAGGTTTGGAAGTGCCAACAAGGACACAGTAGTCAGCGCTGGATCGGAGACCCGCAGCAGCGCTGGAGGGACAGATGAAAAGGACAGGAAAGAAGATCGGATTAAGAGACATCAGTTAAGGTAAGTACTTTAACATTGGGGGAGGGAAAAAACGTTTTTGACTTTAATGTCACTTTAAGGTTTGAAAATGAAAGAGAAGCAGATTGGTTGCCATGGCCAATTCTTCCAGTGTTTATGAATTTCACCCATAGTTCCAATGGCAGAACTTGTGACAGACTGAGGCACTCATTGGTAAGGTGCATACAAATGTGTCCCATTTTCTAGGGGTCGGTAAGGTGCATATGAACCTGTAACAACGGTTGCCAACTTCTCTCCTGTCGTGGAGTTTACAATGCCGAGAAGGTATTTTTGGGGAAGTTATGACCGTGATGGAAACGTATCAAATATCATTACCAGAGCAACTTGAGAGAAATTTTGTTGCAGAATTGTCTCTAAAGAGAAGACAATTCCACATGCAATCCGCAGTTTGCTTGGGGGTTTTATTTACCTCCAGCTTCCTTACCACTGGGGTATTTCTTTATAAATTGGCCACAACATAGAGAACTATGAGGTGAGTGCTTTTCACTCACCTCATAGTTCTAGCCGACCTGTGACAATGAGACTGTCACAGGTCGGCTCAGTAGATCCGGAGGTGAGCGAACACATACCGGCATTCGCTCACCTCTCGATCCTATCATGGCTCTCTGCCGTGACAGGGATCCCCCCCCCCCCACTCCGATCCTCCAGCGCTGACTGGCGGAACAGACGGTGGAGGGTACAGCTGGCTCTGCCTCTAGTCAAGAGTACTTACATCTGATTTCTACACCAGGAGAACCACTTTATCATCAACCATAGTGACAAGGCAAGTCAAAAGAACCAGGGTGAAAAATGATCACATTCCCAATCATAACTAACCACAAATGTGATTTTAACTCAGAAGAATTGTACATATTGTAATGTGCTAGGCACAAAAAGGGGGGGGGGGGGAACACACCTATTTCATACATCTGGGATTCCATTCAAGTAGCAGGTTTGGATAAAATTTTTAAAGTGACACTAAACTCAGAAGTTAAATCTTAAAAATGCATTAAAGTACCTCAACTATAAACAAACAAAATGTATCTTTTTTGTGTGTTACTCAGCTGTAGATTCTCAAATCTCTGAATTGGTGTGGACACTGTCCTTCCTTCTGGAGGGTGACAACTTTTGTTCCCCATGATCCCCGTGTGTTGTAAAGTAGTCACTGCTCCAAACTCACTCCTGTAATGGACTACAATCTCACTATAAGATTGCTACTTTGTAATGAGATTGTAGTCCATCACAGGAGTGATCTTGGAGCTGTGACTACTGTACCACACACACACACACACACACACACGGACCATGGGGAACAAAAGTACACAGCCTCCAGAAGAAAGGACAGTGTCCGCACCAATTCAGAGATGATTTGAGGATCTACAGCTGAATGATGAACAAATAAGATACATTTTTGTTATTAAAAGTACTTGAATGCATTTTTAAGAGACAATTGTTGAGTTTAGGGTCACTGTGACTCAATGGCAAGAATTAAACATCTAATGAATGATGTCAAACAAAAAAACTCGGGTAAACAGCATCCCTTAAATCAGCTAATCAAAGGAGCAGGTTGGAAAACTCTTGGCAGAACAGAGCTCGCAGCCAATCAACTGCAAGCTCTGTTCAGGTATTCTGACAGCGGCCACTATCAGAATACATAAGAGATAGCAGAGGACTCCTCAATCTATGCTTGTAAGCATTGATGGAGGGATAATTTATATATATTTTTTTTGTTTAGCCCGCGGGTTGAACAAACATGTATGTATTCAGCATAACAGTGTATGATCAGCTTTAGGCATACATGGCTGCACAGCTTTATTAGATCAGACTCCAATGGACTGATCTCCTGTACAGTATAGTGAAGGTCACAGGGGTGAAGCTTGGCGCAAACCTTTATCTACGGAAATGATGCCTGCATATAATGTCATATACAGATGGATACGAGAAATAATTAGAAGCCATGTGACTTGCAGAACAGCACTGCGCCAAGCAGAGCGCGCAGTCCCGGCAGTTCCCATTTATGGCCATTGATGTGGATGTGACCCTGAGCAGAGATCAGACTGTAGCCGCGCCGCTACTTCCGCAGGCCCTCCACGTCCTCTCACAAGGACACAGCGCTCTGCACCAAGATCAGGCACCGAGGAGGCCCCTTCTGGTGGTCAGGCGAACCGTCCCAGCAATTAGCACCTACCTGGGGCCTCCTTTCACCAACTCACCCGCGTGCACCAATACCACAAGCGTGCGAAGACAGGAGCACCCCTTATTACCGCTATAAGCCCCCACACACACTGCGGCCTACTTACACTTGCCTCGAAGATGGCGCTCACTCAGCCTTCACCGGCTAACAGAGAACGAACGTCCTCCAGACCTTATGAATTTGTCCTTCTGTGACGTCACGGCAACACCCCCCACCACCTCTTCGTCGACATCATTGGCTCTCGAGTGTAGGGTCGCTGACAGTCCGGCGTTCTTATTGGCCGCCTACAGAGGAAGGGCGGCCATAGTCATGTGACGCGCAGAGGAACGTCTTTTACGTAAAGAACGTGAGACGCAGCTGATCGTCCTGGTTGACTCGGAGTTTAGTGTATATAGAGGTGTAATCTTCTCCAATGTCACCGTGCGAGGTCATCTCTGCTCGGTGACCTTTCTGTATAGCGAGTGCCTTGTCTCAGCCATTCCTAGGAAAGGCAATGTCAGTAGTTTTCAGATAAAAGACTAAAGGTTATATATTTGCATAGCAGAGTAGAGCCTTCCTAGAGGAGAAGGTGTTCACATAGCTCATTACACATAAGGAAAATAAGGAGACACTAGGTGTGGCAGAGCATTGCAAATCATTCCTTTATCTTCCTTATCTTCATCCAAAAACAAAGTTTAATCTGTTCAATATACAATTAAAATTGCTATATTTGTGGATCCTGCCATAAATTGTGTGAGCTGATAAATTCCTGTGTTTCACGTTTATTAATTATATTGTTCCCAGCTATAGCTAAGAACTTCAGAATCACTCCCCTATGTTAAGTAAAATAACAGAGGGACAAGGTTCCCTAGTCCCATCTTGTTTCAGTTGTCCTAAAAATGTATTGTGAATGCGCGTTATCATGCTGGGGCTGAAAGTCCTACTGGCACAATCAAGAGGTGAAAACAAAGGAAACACTGATGCAACCATCACATCTAAGTACTAAGTACTCCACATTCTTCGCTCCAATGCTCTTGGACATTACAGTCCAGCCACAATCATTACAGTAAGCCCCAATTCCTATTATATGCAGTATAATAGGAATTGGGGCTTACTGTAATGATTGTGGCTGGACTGTAATGTCCAAGAGCATTGGAGCGAAGAATGTGGAGTTTTTCCAATAAGATAAAGATCCAGGAAAGTGAAGTATCCAGCAGGAGGCCTAGATACTCCAAGTGTTGAGTTGGTCCCAGCTTTGATTTCTGGAGCTTCAAGATTCTTTTGAACTTTTGTAGAGTTTGGACAGTGTGTTTTATATTGACTGAGAAAATCTGTGCTGACTGTTCCCTCAATAGAAGGCCATCCAGATATCCGACAATGGGAATGTCCCGAAATTGAATCAGAGCAAAACACAAGGTGCAGTGGAAAGACCAAAACGGAGGGCAACAAATTGGTAATGTTGTTTGTCCAATGCAAAGCACAGGAAGTGTTGATGTGCAGGAAAGATGGGGACATTGAAGTAGGCATCTTTTATATCTACAGACGCCAGAAAGCCCCCTGGATGTAGGGAAGCAATGACCAACCTGGTAGACTCCATGTGGAATTTTTTAAACCAAAGGAAGGTGTTGAGAACCTTTAAGTCAAAGGTTGGGGCGAATGTCCCATTGGGTTTGGAAACTGTGAACAGGCTTTTGAGAAGAACCACTGTAGCCTCCCCTGTTTTGAGACAAAGGCTACTACTCTTTGTGGGAGGAGCTGCCTCACATCAGCGTGGAGATCCAGTAGCCTTTGCAGATTTGACAACATAAAGTGAGTTAGGGGCAGAGAGTGAAGTTCTATTTTGTAGCCCCTAGAAACCATGTTCTGGACCCAGATGTCTGAAATGTCCTGGACCAGGTGGCCACAAAGGCCAACAGGCATTTCCCCACTTTGAAAGTGGGAATATCCCCTCATTGTGAAGAGGTCTTGGTCATTGGTTTTGAGGACTTATAAGCCCAGGACTTGTGGCGAAAACAGATGACAAAGGTTTGCCTTGGATTTTGAGGCCTGTGAGAAACAAAAGGAGCTTTTTTCTAGTTTCTGAGGTAGGTTTACCCGCTTGAGGTTTCACGAGAAAGAGCTCCCCTCTGTAATACATTTGTCTAGATACTTACCAAATGAATGTATGATATCAATCAGACCATCCACACAATAGAGAAGGTCCACAGGCATGAGTTCCAATTTCTGGAGGACAATCAAGTCCATTAGGATGGACCCAGATGGCAAAGGTCTGGCAAATGGACTTAGTAGCAATAGCAGGGCCTGTGAGGAGAATAAGGCCTTAGAGAGAGCTTCTAGCCTTTTGTCTACAGGATCTTCGAACCCTGGAATGTCCTCTATAGGTACCGTTAAAGTTTTGTGAAGAAATTAAATGGCAATCAATGAAAGGGACAGACCACAATTCCTTCTCAATAGGGTATTGCTGGGCAAAATGGTTGGGAGGAGCAAAGATTTTCTCTGGGCTAGGCTAATCACTATACTTGACAGGCTTTAACAGTGAATGCACTGAAAAGGTTTTACCTGGCTGAGGACTTATAAAGGAACCTACACTGGTAACCTTAGGTATGCTAAATTCTTCAGGTCAAGACGTGTGTACTGCATCAGTAAGGACAGAAAGAGTATCTCTAAGTGGAGGAAAGGGTGTGGATGCTCACTTGCAACCCCTGTGCTCTGATACAGCAAACATGGTGGAAATCTTCGACATGAAAATCAGACAGTGGCTGAGAATTCTTCCCTGAATGAAACAGAGGATGGAGCAACCTCACAGGGGTAAAGATAACTCTGAGGAGTACCGAGACTCAGTCAGGGGACAGCTATCAGGACTATCTGTTCCGGGGGCCTTTAGTAGCAGCTCATCCTTGAGTTGTCAGTAGAACATAAGCTGGCCAGGCCCACAGAGCTTCTGCCCATGTGCTCATCATCCTCCATACTGCTATATGTAAACAAGGGTTTCCCCAAGGGGTACTTCCATCATCTGGGGGAGCAGGAAGTGTTAGAGCCATGTGTGACCTTGTCACTGGAGACAGCATGGAGTCCAGTACATCCGTGGATCGTGGTGAAGCTGCACAGTGTGCTGCACAGACATGAAGCCCAGTAAAATGACAGCAGTTTTAAAATGGTGCAGTGCCATACCATCACCCTAATGTGTTGATTTCAGTGAACCCACAGGGAACTTGAAGCACACACCAAGCACCAGCATAATGCAATGTACCTGAATACGCCTACTGTGTCCTGTAATGTATGATTAGGAGCAATGTCTTCTATGGAATAGATTTTTGAGGCATAAAGGAATGATTTGCATGGCTTGCCCAATATCCCAAAATGCAAAAAGATTCCACGATTTTTAGGCCATGGTTTGATATTCGAAAAGGCTATGCTATGCTATGCAGGGGTTCAGTGGAGGGCTCTTAGTTCCTTTTAACCCAACTCACTATAACATTTTACATTCCCATATATACAGGCCCGCTCTGGGACTAAAAATAGGCCCGGGCATTTGAGACTGAGCAGCCCAATCACATGACCCCAGCAGGCCCCACCTCATCAAAGCCAGAGGCAGAGCCAAACAAAAGCGCAATCGAGGTTGCATTATAGTTACAGTGCTGTGCAACACCCACCAGCACTAATTGTGTGTGGCTCAACCTAATTGTTTTCACTGCCCAATAGCCAGTCCGGCCTTGTGGGAGCCCCTCATAATTGGCACAGTGGGTGTGCAGACCCGGGAACTAAGCACAGGGATGGTGGGAGCCCCTCATAATGGGCACAGCAGGAGTATAGACCCGGGAACTCAGCACAGGGATGGTGGGAATCCCTAATAATGGGCACAGAGGGTGTACAGACCCGGGAACTCAGCTCAGGGATGGTGGGAGCTCCTCATAATGGGCACAGCGGGTGTACAGACCCTGGAACTCAGCTCAGGGATGGTGGGAACCCCTCATAAGGCTCCATTCACACTGAGCTACATGAAAATCACGCGATATGAGCGATATTGCGCGACGACTAACGCTATGCATCAGACATAGCGGGACGGCCGGGCTGAGCACAATCAGGCTGCTTGTATTCGGCCCGGCCCACTGGGCAAGTGCCCGGTTTGCCCTATGGCCAGTCCGGCCCTGCATATATATCTTTGGAAAATATACAGTATGCCTTTTGAGTTCAGGTGCTGTTTACCTCTGTTGCTTACTAGTGTCCCCAGGATAATGCATCTGTCACAGCCCTAGCCAATGAAGCATTACCAACATTTTGTTTAAAATTCTTTTAGATCATGCATCTGCTCAGGGCAAGCTCTTACCACAAAGCCGATAAACTCTCTATTTAACTGCAATGCCACACCAGCTACTGTACTGTATCATCATACATCTGGCTGACATAAATAAGTCTTGTGGAGGAGGTAAGAAATTATCTTTTCATAATTACAAAAACAGTGCACACATTAATGAGGTCTGAACATAGACTGCCTTTCTACGTAAAAATTAATTTAAAGGAGAACTATGAGATGAGTGATTTCCACTCACCTCATAGTTCTAGCTGACCTGTGACAATGAGACTGTCACAGGTCGGCTCAGTAGATCGGGAGGTGAGGGAACACATACCGGGTTCCCTCACCTCTCAATCCTGTCACGGCTCTCTGCCGTGACAGGGGGAGGGGCTGGATTCCCCTCTCCCCGCTCCGATCTGCCAGCGCTGACTGGCGGAACGGTCGGGGGAGGGGGCGGGTACAGCTGGCTCTGCCTCTAGATAGGCAGAGCCAGCTGTCACTCACGCAGCTGGGCGGATCCCGTCATCTACATCGGGATCCGCTCCGGCTGCGGCGTCTCAGTATACCGCGAGCTGTAGCTCGCGGTATACTGAGCTTAGGGTAACGGGAGGACGCTAGTTTGTGTCCTCCCGTTACCCTAAGTAGAACTATGGGGAAAAACACTGACCCCATAGTTCTCCTTTAAGGAACCTGCTAGAGTCCTGGAAAGAAAAACAATTAGAAGATAGTTTACTTAAGTGCAGTGAAAAAAATAACAAAAGCGGTTGGATTAGGGCGTCAGTATAGTTTTTAGTTCACCGAGGTACAGCAGCTTATATTTACAATTATGTGTTAGGAGAATGGGCAGCATGGACCTCAAGTAATAAATGTTTACTTTGAGGCTAGGTTCACACCTGGGTGATCCGTGCACAAAACCACGTGGATGGCCACATA